TGACTTTGACAGTTGGTGACTCCTCTCTCTTAGCTTCCGTCCCTTCTCCGCAAACCCACTCTCCAACCAACCCCAACCACCCCCACAACCACCACCTTCAAAGATTAGGGTTTCGCTTCACTCACACACAAATGCAAACTCCGCCATCACCACCACCACCACCACAGCCACCGCAAGAACGACCAATTGCTTATCAAATGGACGACGTCGTTCCTCAACCAGTCATCGAAGGACTCTCGAATTCTCTTTTTGACTGGTCCGATTTCCTCGATTTCAACATTGACGATCAATTATCCATCTCCTTCGACTCGGATCATCCACTGGAAATTCCTCTGGTCTCTGAGCCGCCTCCAATTTCTCCGATTCCGGTATCGTCTCCGGACAATTTGGAGCGGGTTCGGAAACGGGACCCTAGACTGACGTGCTCGAACTTTTTGGCGGGAAAGATTCCTTGTTCGTGTCCGGAGATGGATGCGAAGCTGGAGGAAGAAGAGGGTGGGTCCGGGAAGAAGAGGGCCCGGACGGTGAGGGTATCGGCGGCGACGGCGCGGTGTCAAGTGCCGGGGTGTGAGGCGGATATAACTGAGCTGAAAGGGTATCATAGACGGCATAGGGTTTGTCTGCGGTGTGCGAATGCTAGTACTGTGGTTCTTGATGGGCAGAACAAGAGATATTGTCAGCAGTGTGGCAAGTAAGTTTTTTCGCCTTTTTTTTTTCGTACATCGGAAAGTTAAACTAAATAGAGTTTCTAGGGAAAGCAATACTAGCCAGACTAAATTTAGGGAATTTTGATTTTTTTTCGTTTTCGGATGAGTATATTTATGGGGGCTTTTAGTGGAATTGAATGGTGTTCTTAACTTGCAATTATTGCTTAAAAAGTTATATATGTCAAATGGGTATCTGTAACCTATACAGGTGAAGTCTTTAAATTGAATATGAATGGACAAAACTCACAAGTACACACTCTCATGTATTTTGAACCAAATCTGAATGATGAAAGTTGAAGGGTTACTGCCTTGTTGATGAATTACTTCTTAGGATCTACTTGTTATTTATTGAAGAATTTATTATTTTAATGACTCTCCTTTTACTGGTTTGAGCTTTTGCATATTGCAACCCTTTAGAGGTTGAAGTGCAGAGAAAAACATGAAAATTTTGGCCTTTTCAAGTGACTAGATCATGCACGTGGACTTTTTGAGCTATAAATTTGTTTTAATTAAGATTTTAACTTTTTTTTTAGATCAGTTAAGATTTTAATTTGAAACAATCAAATAAATACAATAACAACTACATACATACAATCAAACAATCTAAATATACTTATTTTAAAATTTTTGTAATTTATAATAGTCGTATACTATATTTTTTTAGAATGAATATTAGTTTTTATTTTTTTACTAACTCTTAATGTTTTGATGAATTACTTTCTTGTAAACTTCTACCCTTAAGGTTTAGAACTTTTCACATGAAGCTAATAATTTTGATTAATATTGTTTGTAATAGTATAGTAGTGGTATAAATATATTTTGTGGTATTCGGGTATATATAACTTAAAAGTATCACGGTCACTTATTAAATTATGAGTAATACTAAAGAGAAATTGTTTTAAGTTATGGTGGTCATCTAGTTATAAACAATTGGTTGAGTAAATTAAAGAAGTTAAGTTGTGGTAAGTAAATTAATGGAATACTGAATATTTCTGGCATTGTTAACAGATAGAAATAAAATGGATTGTAATATTGGCAATACACATAACTAAAAAAAGATGTATTGAAACTAAGACATAAAAGAGAAGAAATGAAAAGTCAAGATTTGATAATATTATCTAAGTTATATTAAAATAAATCTTATATTAAATAACATCTTAGTGCCTTTATACAATTTCATTTGAAAATTTAGAAACTTGTCATCAACTAATGAAAATAGAGACATAAATAAAAATAAAGTTAATTATTTCAATAATTAACTTTTATATTTTAAAAGAAAGAATATGAAAAGCTTGGATGTGTGTAATATTAATGAAGTTGTATTAATATAAATTATGTATTAATAATGTTAGTATTGTCTTAATTATGAGAGGAAACTTATCCAACTAAAAGTTTAGCATTAATGAAGTTCTATTAATATGAGCTCTATATTAAATAGGCTAGTGTTGTCTTTATATTTTGTTTTAGGGTAAAATAGTCAATCAAAAGTTTTTCTTGATAGTGTACTTTTATTAGTAGTATACAGATTCATATCAAAGTTGGGATATGTGAGAGAGTTCTTTTTTGGGGGTGGTGAGACCAGTTTTTTACTTTTTAATTTTACTGTCAGCTGATGTGTTCATCCTTTGGCAGGTTTCATATTTTGTCAGATTTTGATGAAGGTAAACGGAGTTGTCGAAGGAAATTAGAACGCCACAATAACAGACGACGCAGAAAATCTACAGATTCCAAAGGGACCGCTGAACTGGAACCTCAACCTGTGCTGTCGGCTGAAGAAGTTGGTTGTGATGATGAAACTGGAAAAGGTATATCCAAATCCAGGTGAATTAAGGGTATGATCTTATATATAGATTCTAGAAAATGATCCTGTATACATTACATTTGGTGCTAGAAGGTCCGTACCGGCACGGATACGTTTGATGGGCTTATCACACTATTACTCGTATTTTGGACTTAATAGATTGTATAATTGTATAGACTCACCTTGTTTTCCCTTCGAAGGTAGCTTGCGTTAATGTAGTTGGAGTTGCTTGATGGCCTAAAAGAGTTCTCTTTGGCACAGATAGCATATGTTTGGTTAGCCAAATAGAGGAAAGGGAAACATTAGTGGAATCTGAAGGACATATTTTGACCCTTGATTCAGCTCACTGTTCCCAAAATATCCAGAGTGATAGCGGTGTATCTTTTGTGGCCTCCGGTGAAGCCCAAATTGATGGGGGAAAAGATAATGCCAAATTCACTCATTCTCCGTCCTATTGTGACAATAGGACTGCTTTCTCCTCTGCGGTAGGTTCTCAATGAATGCCGGCGCTGTTACTTTACCACTTTTTTTTTTGGCCCTCTGAGATTTATTGGACTTGTGACAAACTGATTAGATATACTTCTGTAGTGCCCAACTGGTCGGATCTCATTCAAGCTTTACGATTGGAATCCTGCAGAGTTCCCTCGAAGACTTCGGCACCAAGTATTTAAAGGATTATTATTACAGTTTAGTACTGAAAGGATATTAATGCTTACTTTACCAGAGATCCTGGAGGTTGATTGACATGAGGGTAAATGTTTTTACAGATATTTATGTGGTTGGCCAGCATGCCTGTTGAGTTGGAGGGATATATCCGTCCTGGATGTGTAATTTTGACTATGTTCATTGCAATGCCAAAGTTTATGTGGGTTAAGGTAACATATATTTGTGGAACCTATATTTTGATATTATATTGGTTATCTTCCAATGCTTGGTGAATGGAGGTTAAAGTAGTTAGATACTTATCCTGAGGTTTGTGATACGAGGCATGTTGTCTTCAACATAATTAAGAATTGCTCTATATTGTCGAAGAACCCTTTTGGATTGTCAGTATCACTTACAATATGAGCATCAATTTAAGATCCGGAATGTAGTTATACTCATGAACTTTAATATTCATAACATCTCTATATATTGTATTGTATTTGATGTTTGTTTCTATTATGGCCTTTTAGTTGTGTGGATTTCTGTGTATATCTCTAAGTTTGGTCTTCATGATCTTGACTCTTTTTTACATTGCATTGGACAGTTTCTGGAAGATCCTAAAGGAAGTATACACGACTTTGTTGTTACACCTGGAAACATGCTATCGGGAAGAAACAGCTTCCTTATTCACCTAAACAACATGATATTTCGTGTCATGGATGGTATGTTTATATTCAACAACATTATTATCACTATACTGCTGCTTTGTATGTGATCGCAGCTTTGAACATGGGTTTTTTTGGCGAACTTTTTCCGTTTTGCTGCTTTATGAAATGTTAGACACCTCTACCTATCTATTGACAACTTTGTGTGTATAATCTTCTTATATGGATGGTCATGGAAACCCTCTCTAGTTTCATTTACTAAAGCTAAATCGTCAAAAAGTGACATAAAATACATCACCTCTTTTTCTGCAAGCCTTGTAGTTCTACTGTAATTGGTGCGAAAAAGTTTGATGTCAATCCAGCCTGTTGATCTAATTGTGTTGTTAGCTATGTTGACTAGTCTCCTCTATAATTGTTTTTTTGCTACTTGCTGCCTATTGCATATTGCATCTTTGTTTTAAGTATATATCCATCCTTTTATTTTACAAATACCCATCACATTGTGTGTAAACCTTATTGTACACTTTATGTAAATTGACGAGTACCATTGAGAAGCATTCGTGAGCTGTTTTCCAAATTTCATGTTGTTTTCTTTCTTAATGATTGATTTCTAACTTGCAGGATCTCTAAGGTATCATTTTGGTTGTTTGAGCTTGTCTGAACTTTGTAACATGTTCTTAGCATTTTTCTGGACACAGATGGAATTTCTGTGATGAAAGTCAAGGTGGGGGAACATACCCCAAAGCTTCACTATATTCATCCCACATGTTTTGAGGCTGGCAAGCCCTTGGAATTTGTTGCATGCGGGAGTAATTTACTTCAACCCAAATCTAGGTATTAAATTACATCGACTTCTATGCTAATGTTGGTCTTATGGTATAATTTAACTTAAGTATACTTATGTTGGTCTTTTACTAATTCTCTGAGTGCTTTGAAAACTTGCAGTGAGGTTAGTTTATTTATATATCGTTTTGCTTTAGTGTTCTGTGCAAATAGTAAAATTCGTCTCACACTGTTCATTGCATTTATGCAATGCTGATGCTAGGTTTCTTGTATCTTTTGCTGGGAAGTATCTGGCATGTGACCTTTGTGTTCCACCGATGTCTGGTAAGACTGCAGATGCCAGTACCGGTGGTTTTACCCATCAATTAGTCCAATTACATGTCCCTCATACAGAACCGGATGTTTTTGGCCCTGCATTCATTGAGGTAGGATTTTATGGGCATCCTTGTTCTTGGTTTATGTTGTCTCATCACATGTTGGATGTCTTATCAGTTAACATCAATACTGGTATGCTTTGGTAACACCTATATTGGTTAATGACTCTGAAGTTTTGTGGCATATTATGTGCCCCCATTTCTTTAATAGCCTAAATCATCTGGACACTTGACTTCTTGTTTCTTGTCACCATAATCAGATTATGCTTGTGGGTTGCAACTTGCAAGAATTTAAAATGTTGTACTATGGATGGAAAATTGGGAATCCGTGCTTAAGGGTGGACAATTAAGAGAATTTTATGCGCTCATAACTTCATATGGAAACATACTATCTTTGAGCTTCATCTAGAAACATACAATTCAGGTGCAGATTATTTTTAAATATTCTTTTGTAGGTTGAAAATGAGTCTGGAATATCCAACTTCATTCCCATTCTGATTGGGGACCAAGAAATATGTTCTGAAATGAAGATAATGCAGCAGAAACTTGATGCATCTGTCTCTTCAGAAGAATCACAGTTTGAGGATACTAGTTCTTCCTGTCAAGTTTGTGTATCGAGGCAAAGAAAGTTCTCTGAATTTACTTTAGATATAGCATGGTTACTCAAGAAGCCTGCATCAAGAAACGTGCAGCACATTCTGACAGCTTCTCAGATACAAAGATTTAACTTTTTGTTGAGCTTTTTAATACAAAATGAGTCCATTGCGATCTTGGAGAGAGCAACATACTATATGAAGCTTGTGATGGATAGCAGTCTGGCCACTGGCATTGCTGAGGCTGATCTGAGTCTATTGAAGAAGCATATGGGTAACGCTAGAGATATCCTTTGTCAGACAATTCAGGAAAAAGGGGGTTCGAAGCTGGATTCAAGCAATCTTGTGCAAAAAGTGGATTGTGATCAAAGCTTTGTAAAAGAGGTGCTTTCTGTAGTTCCAGTTGCCAGTCGGGTATAAATTTTCACTACATTGGATATTTTTCTGTGTTGATGCCTCTTCAATTTCTAGTTATTTATGTGCTGGTGAGCAACGCTGCCACATTGTCTTTAAGGAAAGAAAGTATTTATTCCTGGATCAATGGGGCAACATGCAGTTATGCCCTCGTTCACATTGGAATTAGGTTTTTCTAATGTCAGAATTTTGAACCTACAAGGCTTTAAATTGTCCTAACCTGTTTGACACGTTCTTAAAAGTTTGTGCATATCACCCTTATTTATATTACTCTGCCTGTTTCTTTTATACAGCTAGAGTATGCACTGGATTGCCCCACCTCGGCGGTGGGTCTTCCCCTTTTTTCTTCTCTTTTTTTGCCTCTTGGGTTTGGTATTTGGCATTTTAATTCCATAGAGCAAGATTGACAGAATTTGTTGCTGCAGATTTGATCTTTTTTGAGTTTTGTTTTTGGGGTTGGGGGGGAGGAGCGTTTCCTCGTGGTAGGACCTCCTCAGGAAATATAAGGTTTTCATGAGGCTAATCTTGAGCCGCCATCCAAGCACATATACCTTCGTTTAAGAGAATATTTTTGGTGTAGACAGTCTCAAATTCCGCTGCTTGAATTTCCTTAGAAACGAAGTCATAGGCATGTAGGTTCAGGGTTAGACCGACTACTTCAAGAACACTCATCCATAAACCTGTTACTGGTACAAATAACATAAAGAAATGTAGTGGATTGGAGATTTGGTGGATTTTACTGCGATTTTGGTAGTTTTTCTGTTTTTGCTTTCTTGTATTATCTTTTGGCTTATACTTGAAATCACATCACAATCAGAAAAGTATGGGTATTGAGATCATCGAACCTTTATGTGTGGGATCACTTATGGTTGAATGGAAAGTTGGATCAGACATTCATGTGGGGCATAATCCGTTCTCCAGAATCGTTTACCAGCTTACAATTTTTTTTTCTTAACGAGTCATGTCAATAATCTGATTGTCTCATACGAGGACTCATTATTTCCCCTCTTTTCAAGGGGGATTTTGAATCTAAGAAGGCTTACATCTATCTCATGTTAATCTAGTATATTTGGTTTTAAATTTGCAGGATATGGAGGTAACACATAAATGCAAGTTGGATGCCATTGTGGGTTTAACGTCTTCAGACAGAAGTGGAACTGTTCCACTTTTAAATGAGGATTTTGTCATGAGCATAAATCTTGTTAAGGAACAGCCGAGGAAATCTTACAGTCACCTATTTACTAATCCCATTTTGACATCTCGTCCTCTTATCTTTGTTATTGCTGCTGCTGTTTGTTGTGGACTATGTGCAGTCCTTCTCCACCCACGGGAGGTTGGCAAACTTGCAACAACTATACGCAGGTGTCTGTTTGACAACTCCTAGATGTCAATGGAAATCTTGGATCAAAAGTGGGCTCTTGTTCTGATATGTATCTGCCAATGAAAAATGGCAGCCCGTGGCCCAATGCACAAACCTCCCGCCACTGCATTGATATGTCCACTGATGTACACTAATATTAGTTAGGACTAAACTGTCTGAAGAACCAGCTTGTCGATTTGGTTGCTGGGGTGTGTACCTTTACCTTTTGTTTGCTGAGGCTGTGCTTGGTCCAAGTGCTTCAGTTAATTTTTGCTCTTTCTGATGGCATCATGGGATGATACTTGCCGTACTGCCAAGTGAATTGGAGGAGACATGATCAATTATTGTTGTATTCTCCCTCGTCTTCCTTGTATCTTCTCTTTCACTATGTGTATTTAGTGGCATTGGAATTTTGAAATGCATGTATTTAACATGTAAATCGTTCATAGGGGTGCAGTCATGGAAGTCGAAATCATATCCATTCTATTAGAATAAAGATTCTTTTTTAAACAATGTTCTGTTTAAAGGTTTATTGGATAGAATGTGATCCGTGTTTCTGATTTTGAATTGAAATGCAAAAGAATGGATATTCCCTGTCTCTCTTAAATGAGGTATACCACTTGCTTCTTGAAATTTATGGATTGAATTAAACGAATAATTGGGTTATTTGGATGGAATTGAATTTTTAACTTTTCTTGCTATGTTTGTTATTAGGGGTAACCCGTGTTTGAAGATATGGTATAATGTGAATGGTTTTGAGAGCGATATTAGTGACTGTTGGATAAGTCTATTTGAAATTGTCGAATGAGTTTATTAAAATTTGTTTTATTTTGTATTATAGATGTTCGGTTCTTAAAATTTATTTTATTTTATATTATAGATGTTCGGTTCGATTATTTGCGGATATAGATGTTCAGTTCGATTATTAGGCCTCAGTTTCCTCCTCCCCCAACTTGTAAAATTTCAGTCTTGTCACTCATGATTGATGATTTAATACAGCAAGGGTTGAAGGAATTTACTAACGACCCTGAATCTGAATGCTATGTGAAAGAGATGGGCATAATCCAAACTATGTTGAAAGTTGCCAGGGTTTTTTTTTAAATTTAACGGTCATGGATGTTAGAATCAGTTTACGTATATTTCGACTAATTCTTTTATTAGACTATTTATGTCGGAATTAGGACATTCATCAGAGATAAATTTATTATAGTCTAACTCCAAAAAAATGTCAATATTTAAATTCAAGACACTTAAATTTACACCTACTGATTCTTAGGATTCTCGAGTGATCTGTCCATTGTCTCCAATCTTTGCTATGTTGTTTCCTTATCCCACAAAACAACCAAGTAAATAAGACAATTCAAAATGATGACTCTTGGGTGAGTCATAAACAGCTGTTTGATATTTGTTTATTCAATTCTGGAAGTTAAATAATGGGCATTACATTGTCTTTTAGCCCATTACCATCCTCCCAAAGGTATTGTTCTTCCTAATATCTGCCTACTCTAATGCTAAAACTAATTAATTTGAAATTAACCATTATTAGTGGTTTCCTGTGGGGTCCATGATATTTTATGAGCATGTAAAATACACTTTTTTAATACATAAATCGAGTTATAACTAGTAATTCAATAAGATAGTCCGTCACCACAACACGATTAAAGTCAAACAACAAAACTGCGTTACTTTTGTGCATCGAACTCTGTTTGATAACTGTATAAAAGTTAAGGACGACCTTAAACAGATACGACTTACCATTAAACTACCGGCTTAGATGCTATGTTAAGAGCAATTGGATGAAAAATAAAACGAAGTGGTGTGTCATGTCAAGACTATCCAGATGCCACCAGAAAGAGGATAGGCCAGAGAGGATGAAAATAATCCCACCCTAATAAAAGTAATGTCCCTCAGAATGGGCTAACACAACTGGCTGGCCTATGCATGGTATGATGGAGTTTCTGGTGCTGTGTCCGTTTCAAGAAATTTCACGATGGAGTTTCTGGTACCGTGTCTGTTTGAAGAATTTTCATGTGCTTGGTGGGTCTCAAGCACACAGTATAAACTATAAACGCGTTAAAATTAAAATATGACGTGACTTGTTAACAAGATAGAAAATTTAAAAATTTAGATTTTTTTTAAGTCATTTAGGTCGTAAATAAGTGGATTTGACACGATATAATTAATAAACAAAGTGAGTATAGGTGAAGTCAATCAAAAAAATATACGATATGACTCGTTTATGAATCGGTTACACATGATTCATACATGATATGAACCTGATATGATATGATTTATTAGACACGAATTAATAAATGAATCGAGTATAAGTGAAATATTTTTTGATACGAACTTACTTCACTTGGATCAACCAGCCTACAATGCACAAAAAAAAAAAATTAAAAAATTGTTCAATTCTTTGTTATAATTCTGGGATTTTTAGTTTTGATGTAAAGTGTCTCAGAAAGGGAGAGAGTTCAAAATTTTCGTTCCGATCATTGTTTTAATTAACTCTGAAACAAAAAATCATTATAGAAATGATTCAAAAACACAATGAAAACGGAGATAAACTTAAATTTTGATTTTGAAATATTTCAAAACACGAGAATTTAGGGGGGGCGTTTGGTTTGCGTTCTGAAAACTGTTTTCTGTTCTCAATATTTTTAAAACACCTAAAATTTGTTTGTTTAGTATTTTTGTTATCAAAATTTTGAGAAAAAAAATGAGAATTAGAGCAAAAAAATAGAAAACAAATTAAACTTGTTTTCGGAGTTTTCTTTGAAAATTTTGGAAACACGGAGACAATATTTGCTCATTAAAGAGGTCTACCCTTCGAACTTTTTTAGCAACAAATAAGGTCCTCTTATAAAAGGTATTTTTTTGCCTATGGTCTCTCTCTCTCTACTTCGGCAAAACCCGAACGGCTACGCTCTCCAACGACTTTGTCTTCTCTGGCGACTGTAGATTGTCTTCTCCGACTCAAGTAAGTCATAGATCTGGATTTTTTTTTTTTTTTTTTTTTGACACAATTTTTTTTGGGTTTATTTTTGTTTTGATTTTTTCATTATCCCTTCAATATTATAACAGATCTGCTGCAACACAGCTCTGGCTAATAGATCTGTTGCAATAGATGATCCCATTTTTTGGGTCTACTTAGTTTGATTTTGATTTTTCGTTTTTGGCACGATCTGTTGGGTGGTTCTCGGTTTGGGTGGTGGTGGTGGTAGTTATGTGTGGTGGGTGGTACTCGGTTTGGGTTGGTGGTGGTTGTGTGTTGTGGGAGAAAATATCCATTACTCCTTAGTGGGTTGATGGTGGTTGTGGGTTGGTGGTAGTTGTGAGTGTTGGGTTGACGGTGGTTTTGGGTTGTGGGTGTTGGGAGATATACAGTGAAAGAGAGATGGATCGAGAGTTGAAAAGTGGTGGGAATTGTAGATTATTGTCTAAACAAATTTTATAATTTTTGTTCTTTAAAACTATTTTCAAATGCAATCTAAAAATTTTTAAAAACATTTTCTTAAAATTCTTCTCAAAAATAATTTTCAAATACTATATTTTCAGATGTAAACCAAACAAGCCCTAAAACTTCGAACGCTTATTCATTTTAGAAATGAAATGGAATTTTTTTTCCCAGGTTCATCTGATTCATTTGAGAAATCTAATACCTGTCATGACATAGATTATTACTTCGATGAAAAGTGTTATGAACAAAGGCCATAAACAATAAATGGCGTGTTGCACCCCTTTATAATAAAAAAAAATAAACAATAAATGGAACAAAAATAAAAAAATACAAAACATATAAATATACGTTGTTTGGCTCAAATGTCTCAGTCCCCAAGAGAACTGCAGCCACAAAGTTTATACAAAATTCTTTAATTAAGAAAAACTAAGTGATTTACGATGTATTTATAAATCTAAAATACCCTATTTTCTTTGAGGGTATTCTAAGACATCTACCTTTTTAAATCTTTGAGAAGAACAAATTACAAATTAATTTCTTACCCAAACGAGAATACAAGACACCAACAACAAATCTCTACATTTGCTTGTATTTTCATCAAGTCATCAAAATAAAAACAAATAATTTAGCGGCTCTTCAGACAAATTCGACAAAGAAATAATACAAATGTCGTAGGTATGCATAACAAAAAGAGAATAACGTTGTTCCACCTTTGAAACTTTCGACAATGATTAGGTAAAGCAATGTACACTTTACATCTTCATGGGATTGATTATACATCTTTACGAGATTGTGCCATTTTGTCATTTTCCTAAGAGTCCAGCTTTTGGAAAGCATCATTTTCTTAATACCTTTGACTGCAAAAAAATGAAAAAAAAAAAGATAGGGTAAATGCTTCAAAGCTAAAAGCAGATTTCTTTCTAACCCCTTTTTCTACATGGTGTGTTGTCAATTACATTCTTTTCCTTCATACACCGTTAGTGTTTCCATCATAGAACCACAACACTGTGCTAAGTCTACCTATTTATATATGTATTAATGTATATATACACATTTTAAAAAAAAAAAAAAATATATATATATATATATATATATATATATATATATATATATATACTTATATAATAATCATTTTTTTGAGAAAGAGGGCTTGAGAAATCTTCCCTCTCACTCTTATAAATTTTTTAGAATTTTTATTTAATTAATTATAAAAATTAGGTATTTTTCAATCAACAACCGATATTTGGCTAATATTACACCTTTTCAATATCTTACCAATTAACCTCATCCAATTTTTTTTTTTAAAAAAAATTAATTTTAATTTTCTATAAACTTTAATAATTCTTGAATTACTTAGGGTGATGAAAAAGAAGAAGACCAGAAGGGTAAGAAGAAATGAGACAGAGTAAGACGCGTCATAAATTATGTGCATTGCACGGGACTTTTGCTAGTATATATATAAAAGAATCAATTTTTAGGAGAGATGACCTGAAAAGTCTTCCCTCCCACTATTCTTAATTTCTAGAATTTTCGTTTAGTACATTATAAAGTTAAGTATTTTGCAATCAACAACCAACGCTCGGCTAATATAACAACTTTTTCACTACCAATTAATCAAAAAATTAAGTTTCAATCCCTTGATGTTTCTTGAACTACTCATCTTGTGTGATAGGAAAAGAGAGAAGCAAGAAAGGTGGATGGAATGAGTCGTACCAAGACGAATTATAAATTCCATGCATTGCTGGAGGCGCTCGCTAATTATATTATATAATAAACAAAGGAGAGACTTTGGGAGGCGTTCCCTCCCTGTTCTCTCAATTTTTAGAATTTTGATTAATTTTAATGCATTCAATCCAATTAGATTTTAGCGTGTGACATAACTATCCCTTCATTAACTAATAACTCATCATTTACTTAAAAAAAAAAAAAACTACTTTCTATCGCTCCAAATTTTTATAATTATTTGTTTAAAACTTTTTTACTCCCTAAATGGTGGGATAGGAGAGAGGAGGAGATAGTGAAAGGGGTAAATGAAGGTAATGAGATATAAATTTCGTGCATCGCATGTGATTTGGGAGATGATTTGAGAAACTTTTCCTCTCACTTTCATTTTTTAAAATTTTTAATAATTTAATTATCATAGTTTTAACCAATTATATTACAACACATGTTCATGTAACTACCATCGCACTGCCTAATTAACTGTCACTTATTTAATTTTTTTTTTTTAAATTGGCCACTAACTTTATTATTTAAAAAAAATATACATATATTTTTACATAATTCTTCTATCACCTTAATTTTTCACACACAAATCGACAAATAGTCCAAATTTTTTCTAGTTTGAGTCTCAATAATGGTCTCTATGTGCATCTGTCACGCTACATACCTTTAATCCTCTTCAAATCATACGTCGTGAGAATCCCATGTGAATCATCAAATTTTATGTTATATATCACTATTCTCTCATATATTATTAGTGTCTGTTGTTATGTGAGAAATAACGCAAGTAATTGACATTGAAATTATCTCGATTATATTTTTGCTTAACTATAAAGTACTTAATGACATGTGAACAAGGGACCCACTTCTAAAGATTGGGTCCCACTTGAGTTACAATTACCTAAGATAAGCTAGAGGGTCGACTACTTTTGTGTGATAATAACAATGTTTGGTTTCATTGAGCTAATGGCATTGCCAGATCGAATTCGAAGTGATTCTAGAATAACTTTCCTTCCACTGTTGTAATTATTTATAACAGTACAATTTTGACATCGAATAAACAAACTGGAGAAATCAAAGGATATTGAATAGAAGCAAATTGAGATACATCGGATTTGGCATCGTAAAAAAAAATTGGGCAATAATATAAAATATTAGATTGAAGAAGTTTAGTATTATGGACGGTATAGTCTAATCATGTGAAGATGACCCCGACTACTACATGTTGACTTAGTCATGTCTTAACTGAGTCGCGTAAGATTCATGGTTAATATATGACCAATGATTAAAATTTTGTTTTGAGATATTATTTCGGTTATCTTAAAAAAAAAATGTTTTGAATATGTTTTGGAAACATTTTGAAAAAAAGAAAAGAAATGGATAAAATATTTGAGAACTTATTTTCAAATCATTCCCAACCATTGATTAAGATATACTGAAATACTTTGAAATATTACGAAACATTTAGAAATACTTTGAAACATTTTGAAACACCCGAAGAATTGAAATTTTGATTCAATAACTGATTCATTTCGATCTCCTTGAAAACAAAACTATTTCGATCATTTATACTGTTATGGAACAAAATTTTAATCTTTGTATAGGACGTAAAAAGATATTGAATTTGATACGACTCGGTTGATACTTTGAACCATACTAATCCAAGCAAGCAAGGGACAATCAAAAGCACTAATGCTCTGTTTGGTATGATGGAAAGTTGGAAGAATGGAAAGTTAGAAGGATAAATAAAACATCATGTTTGGTACGGAAAGAAAATAGGAAGGATGAAAAAGTGGATGAATTAACTTTTTTTTCAACTCACCAAAATCAATTCCTCCAAAATCGGAAAGAAAATGAATGAAAAATTAATTATTTGTGTTGAGATGTATCTTACTTGTCTATATATTATGTATACATTAATTTCATATAAAAATACAATCATAATATATATATATATATATATATATATATATATATATATATATATATATATATATATATATATATATATATATATAATTTAAAAATAAAAAATATAAAAAATAAAAAATAAAAATTTAAATTAAAAAAATATATTTTTCATCTTAATTAGGGATGAAAATTTTCGACTCAACACGATGACATGACTCGAACTCGATACGAATTTTATGATATGAACTTGATTATAACTCGACATGAACTTGAAAATGACCTGACACATGAACAATTTTATGACTCAACACGAATCTGACACGACACGATTCGATTATCACCCCTAATCTTAGGCAGCACAAAAAAAAATTAAAAAAAAAAAGTCATTTTTATTTTTCATCAATCCAACTAAACATAAAGAAAGGAAAGTGTACCATTCCTATTTTTTATCTTTGAAAAATAAAAAATGTATCGCTCTTATTTTCCATTCTTTCTATCTTTTCTACCGAACAAACAACGCATAAATATCTAAAGCAGAAAAGTGGCCATTTGTTCTTGCCATATGATTCATATGACCACAAGTTTATTGTCATGGCACACCATCTCACAATTGCCAGCTCCAACAGATTTGTGTGTTCAAAATTCCATATGCTAGCATGGACTGATAAGATTACACGTCAGTGACAGCTTCATCCCACATGATTCATGAAAATGAATCTGATTATTTTAGTATCTAGTCATTAACATGATAACAAAGACTCATGAAAATATTTTTTTATTTTTTTTTTTTTTATTTTATTTAAAAATCTACCTACATCACTGAACATGTATAAATGGCAGAAGAAACCCATAAATTCTCATTCAAATCAAGCCTACTACTCTCTTCTATCCTTCTTCTTCTTTCTGCTATCTTTTTTTTTTTTTCTTCTTTTTTGGTATTTAGATAGAAATATAGACATAAATGGCAACTGATCAATGTAAAGATATAGAAAATGGTGTGGATAAAGGGCTTGAAGACTTGGAAAAGCCATTTATTCCGCACAGCAAAACAGTATACTCTGAAGATGATCAGTCTAGTAAGCACGACGAAAACGGATCCATTGGGATGGTTTTGTTCAGTACATGTGTTGCTGTCTGTGGCTCTTTGGAGTTTGGATCATGTGTAAGTACATTAATCAGTGTTTCTACTAGTAAATTTTTGTTGTTTCAGATAGACTTTTAATTAAAAATTTCCCCTTTTTTTAATTTTTTTCTTCTTTTTGGTCAGGAACAAACAAAAAACTGAAACAAATAAACCAAAGAAAAGGGTTGTTTAGCTTTAAGTTAATTTTTTTGCAGGTGGGTTACTCTGCACCAACTCAGTCTGCTATAAGGGAAGATCTAAATTTAACACTGTCTGAGGTTGCCTTCACTTGATTTTCTCCTTGTTATATTTATGCTATACCATGTTAGATGAATTAGAACTTAATTCAGTTTCATCTTGCAGTACTCCATGTTTGGTTCAATAATAACAATTGGTGCCATGATTGGTGCCATCACAAGTGGTCGAATCGCAGACTTCATAGGTCGAAAAGGGGTATGTGAAAGTCTCTGTTTTAAGTTATTCCAATGTTTGTCCATTTTGTTATGGCTAAAAAATTCTGGTTTTTCATGTAAGCAGGCAATGAGAATGTCAGCTGGTTTCTGCATTGCAGGATGGCTTGCAATCTACTTCTCTAGGGTATGAGCAATATGCAACTTTCAGACTCCTAAATGCTTTTTTTTGTCATTCAATCTTCTTTTCTCTCTTGAGTTGGGTTCTTAAGACAGGACAATAAATCGGGTCTCCTTACATGATTATAATCATTGTAAACACACTTGTATTTTTTTTTTTGTGTGTCTATACAGGGAGCTTTGTCACTTGACATTGGAAGATTCTTCACAGGATATGGCATAGGTGTTTTTTCTTATGTGGTAACTGCTTCACAATTCATCATTTACAATATTTACAACAAATAGGACCTTTAATTCTAGTTTCAAAATTTATGATTTTTTGGCTCCTTCTGACTGCTGTTCTTTAAAATTTAATTAAGCATATTGACAACTGGATGAACAGGTTCCTATTTTTGTTGCTGAAATCGCACCAAAGAATCTTCGTGGAGGGCTTACAACACTTAATCAGGTAAGAAAAGGAAAAAAAACACATCTTGGGTATAATTTTTCATCACTGATTAAAACTTTCGGACCATTAGCATAATTTTCCCCACCCTTTGGTCTTCTTGTTCTGCAGCTAATGATTGTTTGTGGTTCATCGGTTGCATTCTTAATGGGATCAGTCGTAACATGGCGAACACTAGCTCTGACCGGTAAGTCAACATATGACTGAGATTAATTAACCAACAAGAGGGAAGCATTTATCTCCAAATTAGCTAAAATTAACACACACACTCAAACTGATTGTTGGTTTTGATTTGAAGGACTTCTTCCATGCATATTTCTGCTTGTTGGTCTATTCTTTATTCCAGAATCCCCCAGATGGCTGGTGAGCTTTCAATATCAATCTCTCTTACTTATAGCTGTTTTTTTAGAAAATTAACAAGAAATGAGACTAAATCCGAAAATTGCAGGCGAAAGTAGGCCAGCAGGAAGAATTTGAAGTTGCATTACAAAGGCTTCGCGGAAAAAATGCAGATGTGTCTCATGAAGCCACTGAAATCCAAGTATATATCCCTCTATCTAAAGCCTGATCCATTGTAATTCCTTTAAGTTAATATTTGTGAAGCTAACTATACCCTTTTTTTGATAGGATTATATTGAAACCCTTCAGAGTCTTCCAAAAGCTAGAATGTTGGATTTGTTTGATGGCAAATATATTCGTGCTATGATTGTAAGCAGGTTTCCAGCAGATATGTTTATGCTTCATTCTTCATGCTAAAGTGATCGTTGGGCGAATGAAAACTCGTGTTTTGCTGATGCATATTGAACTTTTGAATTGTGTAGATTGGTGTGGGACTAATGGTAGGCCAACAGTTTGGAGGAATAAATGGAATAAGTTTCTATGCCAGTGAAACCTTTGTAGCAGCTGGTAATTCAAAACTTCAATCATCATATTGGAAGAGCTAGCTTTATCTAACCGGTTTTTGTATTTGAAACTTTGTCACCAACACTGTCAAGTATAAATTGCAGGTCTTTCGTCGGGAAATATTGGAACAGTAGCTTATGCCATACTTCAGGTTTGTCAAGCGAATGCCACCATTGCTCTTGTAAGTCCAAAATGTATCAAATGTTTGTCTAAACTCAATTGAAATACAGGTTCCCATAACTCTACTTGGAGCAATGCTGATGGACAGATCAGGAAGAAGGCCACTTCTTGTGGTGAGTACTTACTATCATCTAGAACTTATTGTCTAATTTATTGAGCTGAAGTCATAATAGAGAGAAGCCTTTGAAGGGTAAAATTTACGGTTTTCGCATTTTCAGTTGTCTGGTGCAGGTACATTTTTAGGCTGCTTCCTAGCTGGAGCTTCTTTCTTTCTCAAGGTATCTTATACTCTTAGTTATACATCATAACAGGTTGATCCTGACACGACACGACATGAACCAATTGGTATTGGACTAATGGTTATGGTATTACAACAATTTTGTGAACAGGGCCAGAATTTGTTGCTTGAGTGGGCGCCCTTATTGGCTGTTTCTGGAGTTTTGGTAGGTTTTAAAACCTTTTCATAGTGCAATTTCCACATAACCATGTTGCAATTTTTCTTGAGGAATTACTCTGATATCTAATCTTATTTCCCATTGATCAGCTTTATATAGCTTCATTCTCACTTGGAATGGGAGCTGTTCCTTGGGTGATAATGTCTGAGGTAATTTGCATTGCCTTATACAGTCGTCATATCCTAGTCCTTCTCTGCAGAAACAATTGCCACAAAAAAGTTTGAAGAGACCAGACTAAGAATATCCAACTATGCTTCCACCTAAAAGAGATATCTGTGTATAAACGCAGCTAGACTCGACTCAACTCAACAAAGTCTTTACTCAATTATTTAGGGTTGGCCACATGAATATATAAGAATCTTATTGTTTATATACAAACACAAAAAATACCCCTACTTAGTTCATTTTCTCTCTCTTATTTTGGTGGAATTCATATGGGGATCCCTGGCAGTACGGCTGATAATCGAGTCAAATCCGTTGAGCTCGTTTTTTAAACAATTCTAAAAAATTGTTTAAACTCGTTTCGTTTAAAAAATGAGCCGAGTCCAAATAGTTTGACTATTTTGCATATAAATAGGCCGATCCGACCCCGAGTCGAGTCCTATTCAAATTGAGCCCGAGCTAAACTCGAGTATGAATACCTTGGCTCAATTATCAGCCCTACCTAAAAGCTAAGAAATCACTTAATATTTTTGAACCTCTTGCAGATATTTCCAATACATGTGAAGGGTGCTGCAGGGAGCTTGGTGGTGCTAGTGAACTGGTTGGGTGCTTGGGCAGTTTCCTTCACTTTTAACTTCCTCATGAGCTGGAGTTCCACAGGTGAAGAGAAACTTAATCATTATGGTCCAAATCATAGAAGTAGAAGTTATACTTTGGACCCTTTATTATGTCTCATATCTCATATCGTCCCCTTGGTTATTATGTCTGTCACATTACACCTTCAACCATGGTCATTAGTTTTACATTGCCCCCTCAATTGCCATGCTTATTACATTACACCTACCACCACAATTATTGGTTTCACATTCTCCCAATTGCATGCATACATTCAAAATCGTGTATTTTGCTCCACAAATGGACGTTTTCAATCCAAAGAATAATCAACGTTTGGTATCCATTTTAAGTAATCGAGGATGTGAGAAACCTATAATTTTTTTGGCTTCTTTTTTTCAGGTACATTTTTGATATATTCAGGATTTTGTGCTCTTACTGTACTGTTTGTAGCAAAGATGGTGCCAGAAACAAAGGGAAAAACACTTGAAGAAATTCAAGCTTGCATCAATTCATAGAGTGGGAGACTCTGTTGAAGTGGAACTCCATAATACTTGAAAATTGGATTCTAAAAATTAATTGTTTGGGCTATTGTATTCTTCCCTTATTTAAAAATAAACTAATTCCAAGTAAAACTATAGCAAGATGTGGATGAGCTGAGATTAGTTCGGTTTGTTTTGGATTTGGTTCAGGTTTATCTCGTTTTATGAGCCAAAAACAAACTCGACAAATTCGGCTCAATTACGAGCCCTAATCGAGATGATGCATGAAAAAAGTTATATCCAATGCCTGCCTTTAGCAAATTACCCATGGCTCGTAGATTGGCCAGCTAACAGGCCCCACCAAGTATAGGGCCATATTAGGTCTGGTCCATTATGTTAGGGCCATGGCCCGGCCAGATAGCTTGATAAATTTCTGCAAAAAGGAAAGAAATATAAGTCAACTTTCAAGAAAGTCACAAAAAAAAAAAGAAAAAAGAAATAGACCCATTAGGGCTAATTCAACGGGTAGACTATGGATCATAGTGTTTCAAAGCGGGCTAACTGACCCGAACCATTGATGTGACCCACCTTGGACTGTTAACTGTTAAGAGTAAAGATGTCAATGGACCGAAGCGGGAGCAGAGAGTGTAGTTTTCATCCTCGTACCCGCTTACAAAAATTTCAATCATTCCTAATCCACCCCCATTAACGGGTATAGTTTTCATCCTCATTCATGTTTGCTAGTAAATTTCTAATCCTTGTCCCTGTCCCCGCTTCTCCCGTACTCGCCTAAGTCCAAGTAGCATAATATAAAATTCTAAATAAATCTAATATTTTAAATAATTCAATAATATTCTAAATAATCTAATATAATCTAAAACAACATAATATAGATTGCAAAATGTAAAAGCCAAAATAATATAATATTCTATTTAAAGTGTCATTGGACCACAAAAAGAGAAACATAACTATTAGAGAGAAAGGAAGAAAATGAAAATAAAATTGAACTAAGAAAACAATAACACTACACTTGAAGTTTCCTAAAAGATTTTTTGTTATTACAATCCATATTACAGCCATAAAATGTTAAAAGATGAAAAATTAAAATTTCGCTAATTCAATAATTCTACTAACGATAAAATGCAAAAAACAATCTTATTCTCTCTTATTTGTTTTTAGAGCATGATCAATTCAAACTCTTAAAAGTTTCAATCAGTGAGCACACATAGAAAAAAGACACAATCAAGAAAAAAAGTTAATAAAATTATCACATAGCAATGCCACTTGTTAGTTTAATTACCATATTTCTAGATTGGTAGTTACAGTAAATATATTTAGTTAGGGCTTTGGAGTATATATATAATGGGTAGCGGGGGTGGGGCGGGGGTAAGGGTAAGTCCATTCCCGCCTTCATTCCCGTGCGAGTTTATACGAGTATTTTCATATACGTCCACCATGTAATACGTATAGTCTATTCCCGGTCCAAATGGGATGGATTTGGACGAATACCCATTTTTTTCTGGTCCACCCTAGTTAAGGGCATCTCCAACAATGCTATCTAAAATAGTTACTTAAAATACATTTAAATATTATATTATCTACTTTAGCTAATCACTTTTTCAAATTTACTCCAACAACGTTTTCTATTTTAGCTACACACTTCAATTAACTTTAACTAACTTTCAATAATAAAATTCAAAAAATATCAATTCGACTATATATTGTATAAATTTAATCAATTATAAGCTACAAGAGAGAACCCACTTTCCAAAAATTACTACTCCCAAACCAAATTCTCCAAAAGTAAATCACAAAATTCAAAACAAAATCACCTTAAATTACACAAATAACTGAGTCAAATTTTTGGGGGAAGTTTATTGGATTTTTAGGAGATTTTGTTAATTTTTTGGAAGTGTTGATGAATTTTTGGGGGAGTTTACTGGAGTTTTGGGAGATTTTGTTGGATGTAGAGCTAGTGAGAAGTGGCTTGCTAGATGTAACTAGTGAAAATAGAGTTATGAGAAATAAATAGGAGAATAGCTTGTCTGTTAGAACCACATTTCAGTAAGAAATTATTTAAAATAACTAAAAAAAAGGTTTTAGCTAACCTTTTGGAGTTGCAACAAATAGTCTAGTTAGGCCTGACTCAGATCGTCGAAGAGGCTTTTTAACCATCTTCCATTTGATTTTGCAAGAAACCTTTCTACTAAATAGAGAAGGGTAATTACAAGGAGAAGGGCTCAGATAGAGCAAATTTTAAATTTCGGTTATGTCGAGTCGAATTCGCCCTATGTAATGATGTGACAATTGATATTGATGAATCCAATAAGACGTGTAACAAATGCGACATGTTTAAAATTCATCGCCCAATTGTATAACCAAAACCCAGTTGTAACCAAAACGTAGACATTGGTAGAATGTATATAGTGTTTAGTTTTTCTTGAAATTCTGTTACTTCCTTTTTAGTTGAGATTTATTTGATTTCTAGTAATTCTCTACTCTATACATGCATTGTATTTTATGTTTGGTGCTTTTAGAAATGATTTGGTCCCGTGTGTTGGTCCCAAGGACTCCATTTCTTAGTCCTCCGGTTCTTCTACTTTAAGAGTTTAGGGAGATTATTGGCAGTGGCATCCTTTTTTTCTAGATCCTTGGAGTACGGCTAGGATTTTCTTGCTTTGTTCGATTGACGATTGCACTTTTCACATATTTCGAGTTCTCACTTTCACCACCAACAATGTTTGAGGTTTCTTTTGAGGCTACTGGGTCCTATATTACTCGCATGCTTGGGGGACACGAGTGACGATCCCGAGGTAGAATCCCCACCTTGAGGAGACGAGGATCCTGATGTTAAGTCATTCCATTAGAGAGATGTAGTAGATTTAAAATTGCTAAGTTAGTCAAAACTAATGGGAGTAGTTGTAACAAGGAACTCAATCCGGTAGAAGAGACCACCTCAGCCAATCTAAAATTGTCTTGAAAGTAGTTGGGTTGCTATCAGACAGATAAGGATAAATCTAATCTAATTTAATAAAAAATACTGTAATATTAAGGCCCGATCTTAATCTAGCCAATCAGATCAAAGTTTAATCTTCATTCTTTCATCGATCAATTTTCATCCCTTTTCAAATATATTGAGAATCATAAAGATATATTGTCAAATGTGACAATAGACTTCGTTGGGTATTCTAAAAATAGAAAAAAAAATAAAAAAATCTTGATAATAGCTAAAGAACATGTGATTATTTTTACGATAATTGATACTAATTGGTATCCATTAACAGAGAATGAAATACTCATTAATTAGAATTAACAGCATGCAAACGAGCCTATATTGTCTAATCATAAATTACCGTTTAAAATTGATGAAGGTAGTATGACTTATTATGCATCATGTGGTTGTACATGTGCTCATAACTCTTTTTATAAGATTTTTTTTTTTTTTTTAAGAATTTATAGGATTTGTTACTCCTCATAGTCTTTCACCTCTTATGCAGCACCTCTTGATTGTCATTTGACAACTTGATGGGTAGTGTAGTGTTATTATGTATTGAACATATTTGAATACAAGTTGGAAAGTTAAGAGGACTAAAAGGAAACAATGCAAAGATTGAGGGACCAAAGTGTAAATCTGGCTAAATTTTTATGGGTACAAGTTATAATTAACCCAAACAATAAATGTAGACAGAAAGATAATGGAGGGAAAAAAAAAAAAAAAGAATATAAGAGGTTCCCAAACCGTAAGTGTGGCGTCGTGTCATTTTTGTTTATATTATTTTAGTTTCGTGTCACTGTAGTTGTTAATCAAATTGAATTACTCGAACTTGGCTTAAGTTCAGTTCGGGTTTTGCTCGTTCAAGGTTGATTTGTTTTTTAAACGAATCAAATTTGAACAAGTTTTTAGACTCGTTTAAAAACACAAGCCCTACAAGTTCAACTCGAACTCGACTCATTTATGTGCAAATACTAGGAATCGGCTCGAGTTCAACTTATTTTTGGCTCGTTTAGACTCGATTCGTTTCCTAAACGAGCCGAACTTAAATAACTTTTTAGGCTCGACTAAGAGACAAGCTTTTCAAATTCGACTCAAATTTGTCTCGGACTCGTTCGACTAACAACCCTACGTGTCACTTTTATTATGGGTTCGTGTTAATAAAATTTAATTTTATAATAATTCATATAATATTATTTAAATTTTTTTTTTTACAATACTCTCTAAATATATATATTTTTATCTATAGGATCTGTTAATTGTATTATTTATGTCTAATTTTAATTTAACATATTAATAATTCGTGTCAATTAATTGTGTTATTTTTTTAATTTTTTAATTTTGTGTCGAATACAATTCAGGGAAAAAATCGACTCCCCTAGATACGACGCAGTTTTAGGGGTGGCTCACAGATTTTATGATACCCAATTGTTCCAGCTGCACATCTCTGTCTGTCTGCTCAACAATGGCGTCACAAACAGCTAGGGTTACGTTCCGCACAGTATTGGCCATTCTTGTTATACTCATACTCTTCTATATCGGTCGTCCTCTCTACTGGAAAATTTCGTCGACTGTTCACGACATCAGCCAAAACAAACAAACCGTCCGTGGAGGTCCCAAATCTCTCACTTTCTTTCCCACATTGTGTGTGTGTGTGTGAATTTTGATTTGAGGTTAATTGCTAGTGCTTTTTTTTATTGGATTTTCAGGCATTTCGCAGATAATCAATGAAGCTCAGAAATCAGTGGGTTGGTTTCACGACGAGTCTGATTCGGGAGTCCACGAAGATCATAAGGCAACGGCGGCAACTGCAACTAGGATTCTTCTCCGTCAGGTTTTATGAAAAGTTAATGTTCAATTTTTGAGTTTTGATTGATCAAGTATATATACAAAACGATACGGTGTCTATACTGCTACTATAAATCATGCCAGATCTCTCTCTCGTTTGATTCAATAGTGAGATCTCTTTGGGTACAATGTACTGATTGAATTGTTGAATTTCTGAATATTATGCATATGCCGGTAAGTAATTGAATTCACGTCCTTCTTTTCTGAATAATCATGTTTGAAGAAAACCCCCCTTTGCTTCGGACTCCATATATCTTTTTGACTCTATATTTGTTACAGAAACAGTGTCATGATCTGTGCGTGCTAGATCTTGCACAATATAAAAACGAGAACAGATCTCTCCTTTGGTGAACTCGAGTGAGTCAGTTGAGTGGTCAACCACGCTGCTTGGAACAGCCTGTGAGATCCGGTGGTAACCTGGAACGGTAATGGGAGACTCTCGCGGATCAAAGGAACGATCCAGTAAGGCTGAAGAAAGGTTCCTGGAACAAAGAATAACACGTTAGAAGGGCGCCGGAGTGTTTTTCGGCGTATCCCCTCCGACGATCAAGTCAGTTTTTGAGAGAGAGGAAGAAGAAAACACTGAGTATAATTTGTAGCAAAAGTTTCACCTCTTTTCCTTGCCTTTAGTGAGGAGTATTTATACCTCAAATACTCATGATTGCTATCAGTGTGGTCAGTAGGTGATCATTAGATACAGGTAACGTGCGCACTGATTCCTATGATGAATGTCTTCTCTCTTAACTGCTCGGGACCCCGAGCAATCAAGACTGTGTCATCGGCCTGCCGACGGTTCAATGAGCTCCTCTCGGGGAGGATGCAATAAATGCCCAGCCTTAGAGACATTTATTGCCTTTCACTTTCGAGCCTTACCGCATTGAATGCAGTCTCATCAAGGGAATGGTGTAATTAAATGTTTGTTTTCCCAAGTCGCATGTCAACAAGGTCATGCGGTCTTTCTGTCTCTGATGTGACACAATATGCCACACGTCCATTCCTCATTGGTTGTGACCCCTGCCTTCCTGTGCCTTCTGACACCAATTGAGTAAGACGAGGTCATGATAACTAATCTAGCCTAGCCTAGGCTAGTGACCAGTACATCAATAGTCTCTGCTGGAGCAGAGAACTTCATCCTGGATGAGGGGGGTACATCTCGGTACCGAGGAAGAGGTACATCTCGGAGCCGAGGAATAGATGCATCTCGGAGCCAAAGAATAGGTACATCTTGAATCCGAGAGGGGGAGGCCTACGACCGATGTACCATATCAGACCGAGGGTACGTGTCAGTACATATAAACGCACTGGATGCCACTCGATCCCCATGATCAGTACCTCGGGGGAGAGGGGACTTGTGACCCGATGGGTACGTGATCTCGGTAACAAGGATTAATGACACCGAGGACACGTGTCTTCATCTCGGAGTATTTTAGAAATGTCCCATCATGATCATTGTTAACTCTGAACTGATGTTTATTTTGACCAATGTGGTGAATATGAAATTTCTGGATAGGAATTTTTTTTTAATAGGTTATATATAGTGTTAGGTAATGGAAATAGTGTTATATGCATTGATGAAATAAGTGCTATCTTCTGGGCGACGAGACGACTTATGTGAAAAGGTTTTGTTCTGATATAACTTCTCAACCCTTTTTAATTAGCTTCTTGTTTGAATTACTGCTCTTGCTTTCTGGGCTGAAAATTCAAGCTAAAGTACTTTTGATCTAGTTCCTTAATTTTCTGAAAGGAAAAGTGTTACTCATAAACCGAATAGTTGAAAAAAAAGAAGCAAAACCAATCTATAACTTACAACTTCTCCATGAGAAGGAAGAGTAAATACAAGGGCATGCAAGCACAAGTTTTGTAGTTAATTCAAGTGGTAGACAAAACTCGAACAAAGGTTCTCAATAATAGCTCCAAACATTCTTGGCTTTGCCTGTTTAGTAGTTACTTTAGGACCCATTATTTAGGAAGAGTAACTACAAGGACATGTAAGCCCAAGTTCTGTAGTTTTAGTGATAAAAAACTCAAACAAAGCTAACAATAGCTCCAACACATACTTGTCTTTGCCTCTCTAATAGTTACTTCAAGACCCACTCATTCCACCATAGGAATTACCCCACCAGCCACCACAATCTGTTGCTCCAACTGCAATAGACAAACAGAAGAAAAATAGGAGTTTGGAATAGACTGGCATATGCTAAGAAGTTTAGTGTTCTCACCCTGAATAGAGTTTCAAGCTTGCCCTTGACTAGGAAGTACTCTTGTTTTGCTTGTTGAACACATCTCAAGCACCTACATGCACCCAACTCTCTATCAGAATGTGAAGATTCTTACTTTAGATTCTTAAGGACTTCTGATTTCTATTTTCTAACTTATGTAGCATGTCTGATTTCAAAAATAAAGTAACAAAAATATTAGGTATGAGAAAGAGTAAAACTACACACCCTTCGATATTCTCTTCTTCACAGTAGTTGCGAAAAGCAATGCAAGCATTTTTAACTCTCTGAGCGCCAATGCTGTTGAATCACAAGAACCCATATTTTATTTAACAATTCAATGAACTAATATTGTGTAAGAACTACTATTTTGAGTTCTTTTTGGTGTAAATCTTAGCACCAACTTGTTTCTCAGATTTCAGTTGTTTTAAACTTCTGTCAGGTAGAAATCTGAAGGAAATGGGAAGTAAAAGAAAATGCAAATTTTGTGGGAGAATTCTTGCAGATACCCATTGCTTTCAAAATTCATACAGTAAGTCTTGAATCGGACCACAAATTCCAAGCATCAAATTAAATAAAACTCATATATTTAAAAGTTGATTCTGTGGGGGTGTGTTGCATAAGATAGAAAATCCATTTGCATACCTAGAGCTGCTACCTTTCAACTGATGAACATGGGCATCAACCTTTTTAAAATCTATAGTTTGCTGACCTCTGTACAGAGATGAGAGACAAACCTAAGAACATAGAAAAAATAATGGAGAGAGAGAGAGAGATATTAGTGTCCTCACAGAGTTTTGGTGAGTTCATTAAGAAGCTTTTCAGAATCTTCGAAAAAAAGAGACACCACTTCAACCACGAAATCTGGGTTGCTCTCATCTTGAAGTTGCTGAAGCTGAATAAACTGACTGTCCAAGAGCCCCTTCAAACCAACAAACACAGATAAATTAGAACCAATGCAAAACGGAACACTAAGAAACAAGACAATAGATCAAACAAGCCAAAACAATAAAACAAATCAGTATGAGACATACTTGCATTTCATGTGATTACCTCACAAAACATTGACTTTCTATAGTCCACGAATCTTGTTTGCAGCTGACCAACGTCCATGCTCTGCTTGCTTTCTTTCTTCTCTAGTTTGTACACTGAACTAGCACCTCTCTGCCTTGTTAGTTGTTACACTCAATACAAAGCTTGTTGGTTGAAATAGTAGTTCTTGTGGAATAATTGCACAATGAGAGAATATTAATGCTTGAAAGGAATTTGGTGAATTCAATGTCCCCAGATAAAAAACAACATTTTTCCCTGCTTTTGTGTATCATCTAGTACAAAATGTTGTCTAGCCTTTGTCTTTACTTTTCTTGCGTTCTCTGGATCTGTGCTGTGTTATGTCTTTTTATATTTTTTTTCCTTTTTGTGTTGGGTTGTGATGTGTTTTGTCAGAGTCTCGCAGCCCCTACCGTTTTGCTATTCCATTGCATCAGTTATGTGCCTTTAATGCCCCAAGGGGGCCCCTACTTTCAAAACTCTCTCATTCCATTGCTATTCTATTGCATCCGACCTTTTTTCACGTAAACTTTGTTGTTAATAATATTATCTTGATTATCAGTTGTTGCCCTTTAAAAAGAAAGAAAATCAATAAATAAAAGAAGACGCTTGACTAAGTAAAAACCCTTAGAATCTTTTTCTATTGTGGTGAGACACCAACTACCAGAAGGAGAGAATTCCTCTTTTTGACTGTTATCTTATGTATTGGTGTCCAATCAGATGTAAGTTTAATGTTCTCCTCTTATTTTAATGACTTGATTCTTATCGTATTGGAACCTTACCCCGAAGGAATGATCCTCGTTTTATGGCCAAGATGTGGTCAAATTTTGTGATGAGTGTTGATTTTGCAAAGTTACTTTAATAATATTATATTATGTTTGTTGTTGAAACAGTAGCCTTAGCTTATGTTGATTTCATTAGGATTGAGAATCGAGCCGAGTTTTGCGAGTTTGAATTTAATTTTTTAAGCTCGTTTTTTAAACGAGTCTTAAAAATTGTACGAGCTTGACTCGTTTAAAATATAAGTCAAGCTCGGGTCGAGTCCTATGCGACCTGAGCCCGAGTAGATTGACTCAATTATTAGCCCTAAATTTCGCAAGGATGAACTTGTTTTTCTAAACGGGCTTAAAAATTTATTCAAGATCAGCTTGTTTTGTAAGTAACTTGACAAACTCTTTGTAAATTTAGCCACCTTAATCCTAAGAATAGTTTAAGTGGTAATAGGGACGATCTATAAATTTAGACTTTCTGAATTCAAATCTTAGCAACTCTTTGAGGTTAAGTCACGAGAGATTTATTTATCATGAATAGCTTAGTCTCAGCACAAATGACCTATGTTTGATCATATCAGGGAAGGAATTAGTCAAGATGCGTGTAAGTTGGTCCGGACATCGCTAACTATTGAACCTTAAAAAAAAAACTCTAATCATCCTAAATTTTGGATTTTCTTCATTTTTGCAATGTTATTGACCATCATTTTGTTCAATTTTTTATATTTGTACCCTCTCCCCCCTATTTTTTAAATGATTGTATTTTTAGTGCTGATTTTTATTCAAATTTTGTTTAAACTAAATGAAAAATAGTTTTGTTGTTTCATATATTAATTTATTCTTGAATTTTAATATATATATATATATATTTATGTTTTTTGAATTAGCTGGTGAATTATTTCTAGTCATATTTTCTTCTCCTTAGAAAAAATTCTTGGCTCCGCCCCCTGCATAGAATCCTGATGTCTAGAAAGAATTGTATCATGCAAGTGTGGACCATAGTTGTGAATTGGTTGTGACAACTAAGAATAACATGTGACTATGATGCTGCCCAAGTTGTTTATGTAACACATTGCGTTGGATGTAAGAGAATCTGTTTGACCATATTCTTAATACCACTATTCTCAATAGGGCCATATTCTTAAAAGCACTACTACATTCATTTTGTACTCCAGTTTAATTCAGGGAACAGATCGAAGCCTCTAATGAATTTAATTATCAATTTTTTTACTAACTTTTCTTTCTTATTCATGTGAACCATTGGATTAGCAGATCTCACAAACATCCAACAGCTGTGTCTTGTCGGGTGGTTAAAAAAAAGTTGAATTTATTAGGATGGGGGAATTATACTCATATCTTCTGAGATTTGTCACTTAATCATTCGGATCCCTTAAAGTTTGTACGCGTGAAACACTTAGACCTATGCTATAAATATATCAGTTAATAAATTATACTTAGGCCCCCTTAAAGTTTATAAATATATATTATTTAGACTCTTTAAGTTTAAAATATTATATTTAGACCAAAAATATTTCAAACAAATATAAAATGTCAAATATTTTAAATTTTACAATTAAAATTCATGTTATACTGTATAATTTATTGAAATAAAATCAACAATAAAAATTTAATTTTTTTTTAAAAAATCGTAATTATTATACAATTATATTGTCTATTGAAATTTAATTTGGTCGTATAAGGGCAGTTATTGCTACTCATACTCCCACTTCGTACTCTGACCATAGTGCATTACTCCTTTTAATCCCCCTCGGGAGGTTCTTACTATGAGAGAGCTTGATTTGGTTATATCATAAGTGACCATTGAATCTTATAAGGATTTTAAGGGAAAGACTCGAAGTCAATATTGGAATGTTAATCGTATACTTCTGGTAAACAGCTTGAGATAAAACAATAAGGCAATGATTATTTTTTCAAATCCGGGAGAGAACATCATGAAGGCAAAAGATTGCTTGGGGTAGGAACGCGACTTGACCTACTTGTTGTTATCTGAGTGAAGAAGTGGAATGTGTGTTTGGAAATTGGACTGGAGTTGGTGGGCCCTATTCAACAACGACACCAAACACTGTTGTTATGCCGACGCGACGATAACTCCATACTTGAGTTGCACGGATCTATTACCCCTCTTATTTACATCAGATCAAATATTGATGATATATTTATACCTAACCCTATGAAATGTCTTAGCGGATTCAAAAAGGACTAATTGTCCAAAAGAATTATGATTACTCAAATTCGGATCATATTAAATCAGAATTTAACCCAATTAATAGGAGGCCTATTAACATTATTTTTCACATACTGACATGACATCTTAAGGAGGAGAGAGGGTCAGGGCTACCGACTCATCACTGGCAATCAGGTTAAAAAAACCAACAATATGCTGTGTGGGGTGTATGTTCAACCTCTTTCAAATGAAACAAAATCTGTGTGTTTGTGACAGGGCGGGTATATACGAATTGCTTCCCAAGATCCTCAAGTCAAGAGCAATGGCCATCGCCCTCCTGTTGGATCTTATCACGTTAAGGTCGAACATCGTCGTCTTCTACTCAAGGATCAAAATTTTATTTTAGTGTATTATTTCAATCACCTAAAAAATAAAAACGTTTAGACGTGTTTTGAAAATATTTCGACTAAAGAGAGCATAACAGGAACAATTTTTCTTAACCACAAAAATTGGTTAGCAAAGGAATGACTGAACAGACAAGAACACCACCAAAAGAAACAGATACATACGTGCCACAAATTCATCCCCCAAACCAAACCGTGAAGAAATACAGTAGATAATCTTTAGAGGAAAACAAAATTTACCACGCTCAACATGTCTTGCAACTCCTCCTGCAATATCCCGGTAGGTCTGGAGTTCCCACCATATACTCCGAATTCTTAGTGCATTCCCCGAGTGCAGCCCATCTCTCACAATTGTCATTCTGATCTGTGCAATTCCCACCTGCTCCCACGATCTTGTCGAAGGAATCCACGTGGACCCACTTTGTTGCGGACCACTTCTCACCTTTGATCACCGGGCAACCTGCATGGAGGCTCATTGGATCTGGAACTGCGCTCGGGTGGAGACTGAAGAAAAGAAGTGCATCCCCTCTTCGTGGTTTTACTAGATATTTTCCAAGGTGAAAGGAGAAGAAACGTAAAAAAAAATCATCAATTAGATGAAAATGGAACAAAAAATCCAAAAAAACATTTATCCTTTGTTCGAGTGGCTCACCTGCAATACTGTTCTTTGCACACGCTGATAAGTCATCATCAGCTGCAGAAGATTTACGACGAGACTCCTGGTGACAGGTGACATATGCAATGTAACATAATTAAGACTATGAAGCGATAATAATTCCCTTAATGCTCTCCACAAAGGCAAAAATAAAGGTACCAAAGGGTGAGGTTTAAATGCCAATCATAGACTCCCAGTTCTTGACAGATAAAGTATTTTTTTTTTCTCTCTACTTGGTGAGGGAAAGTCTTGGCAGACTTCTTAACTAGCCTAGTCCAAACATGCATTCTAAATAGGCTTTCTTAAACCTTTCAATGTGATACTTTTCTTGCTGTGTCTTCTACCTCCTACTACCACTATAAATAATTTTCTTGCCAAGGGTCTGAAATACCGTACCAAATGATTTAACAGCACGGATTTTGTTTCATTGCTCATTCAAGAGCTGATCTAAAAAAGAAAAAAAAAGCAGTTATCTAGTATTTTACAGCATGAGGTAAGCAGACAGAATCTCAAGATGTGTAAAAAGTAAAAAAAAAATCAAAATACATGCAACAATAGGATATTACAAGGAATGTAAGGTGGACTCTCAATATATACATGGATAAAAACATGCAGTTCTAATGGAAGTGAAAGGAAACACTTTAACTAACCTCCGCTGAGGGGAACACAGTTTCACCACCTTTCTCTACATCAGTGAGATACATTAGGATAGTTGCCAGGCGATGCCCGCCACGTGCAATATTAACCTTGTCAGCAAAGTAATCATAATGTGGATCATATTTCTGTCCATACTCATATCTCAACACTTGTATGTCTTCCCCATTTTCTGGAATAAGAGACAGTGAAACACATGAAAAAGATTGTCTCCGCCAATAAATTGGTAATTATCTAATAAGCGATAGGGTCTCAGTTAAGGGCACCATAGCAGGAGATATGGCCTGTGGGGACATCTAGATCTTGTTATATACGCAATCGCGTTCTTGAAAACATGAGCATATTAAAGACCAAATTCCACTGTACAGTTGGTGCAGGATATATGGTCTGTGGGGACAGCTAGATCTTGTTATATACGCAATCGCGTTCTTGAAAACATGAGCATATTAAAGACCAAATTCCAGTGTACAGTTGGTACCATTTTGTTGCCTTTTTATTTTGTTATTCATAATCCTAAGAGAACCCAACATCTCCTCCCAAAAAATTGAAGTCAAAATCCTAGTAGAATTAACTACAATCATATCTTGACCAACAAAAACCTAAAATCATATCCAAGTTCTCATGCCACAATCAAAGACGATTTAATTTCAGCACTGTTTCATCATGGGAACTCTGAGACAACACTGATCTGGCTAAGTTTTAATTAGATTAGGCTGAGAATGTGATGATACATCTCTTCATCAGTTCAATGCTGTCACTTAATTCCAGATTTTCAATTCCAGTACTTTATTATTGAATTATATATACACTGTCAAACACTTCAAAGTTTGGAAAAATATTTCAGTTTTCATCCAAAAAGTACAGTTAAAGAAACTATGAAACATAATCTACTCTTAATTGTAACCCAATCATTTGTGGCACAGCAGCAGCCTCTTGCCGGATGTAGCCAAGTACCATAGGCCACTAGTGAGTGTCGGTCATTATTATTTTTTTTTGGCCACAATCTCATTCATTCAAAACAAATATTTTTCAGTTATGAAGTGGCTTGTAGAAATGAAAGCATAAGAAATCAACATGATTTGAAACTCCAATGGCCATTAAACAGATGATGTGGCTTTCACAGTTTATCTCAAGTTCATACGATTTATTGGATGTAGTTAAATTGCAGCTTTCCAATAGTTCAAACTGTTGATCATCACACAAAGTCTTGTAGGGATCCTTAAATTAAGCCTACGTAATTCAGAGGTAGAGATCAATTGTTGACAATTGCCCTATGAAGACTCGCTTTTGCTACGGCTCCGGTGGGTTCCCTTAACCAAGCCACTGCATATGAGTCGCCAACTCATTATATCTTGGGCATGAGAAAAATGCTTACATTGCTCACCATCTTCTACTTACCACAGGCCCAACAACCAAAACAACAAAAAATGAAAAAGGAAAACACCATTCTCCACCCAGAAAAAAAAAAAAAAGAGGAACATAAGAAAAAAAGAGGCTTGTCATATGGCATACCTTTAGGTAGGAAGGTCCAAGTTGCAATCTTGTCTTCTATTCCGGAAACAATAGGATCCTACATTAAGAACAACAAAAACAAATGGATGAGAGAGAGTGAGAACGGCCTCGTGTAACAATTTTGAACAAGTAGTTATCAAGTAGGTAGCTAGTAGCATCTTTTGGGAACACTTGGTAAAAAAAAAAAAAAAAAAGAAGCACATTAAACAATTTTTTTCCATCCTGCTAAGCACATGAAACAAGACTCTTCTACCCATCATCCCCAATAAACAAACTATAAATATTAAACAAAACCATATGACTGTGCAGGTCCAAATTGAGTGCAAGGAGTAATAAAAGAAGTACAATGGTAATTTTACTTAAGGATGGTAAAAAAAAAAAAGGGTCAATCTCAACCAATTAATCAAGTGTTTCAGTAGATATATTCATTGCAAGTGCAGAAGCAGAGTAACAATGAATGCTTGAACACCACACATCCACATGAAAATTGTAAATGCATGGAGAAACCCTGGCACAAGTTAAGGCCCTTCATAAAATCATTACAAATTCACTGGGGGAGTCAATATGGAGCTAAATGCCTTTAATGGTTTACAATATATAAGGACAAAAATATAAGTTTTAGAGATAATTTATTTTCCCACATTAGATGGACTCAATTATCTTGCAAATCACAACAAAGCAATCAAAAACCAGACTACAAAATCCATCAGATTGTTAAACCATACACCTTGTGTGTTATCCTTGGAGTTTATCTGCAATGCAGAAACCAGAACTTGACAGACAATACATCAAACCTACAACATGTCTACAATTCTCTAACTATACTAAGCATTCTTCTTCCAATGTGTGCTCATCATAAACTGTTAACAACAAGTAATACTTGCCTACATTAGGCACTATTACAAGGAAAGGGGACAACAAGGTTCGAATCCACGACCTTAAGGTCCAACCATGGAGATGATGGCCATTAGGCCCAACCACACTAACCAGCTAACCTCAAACATGCTTACATTATTAACAATATCAATGATACTAAGTTTATGCAATTATACAATACATAAATGTATCTAGCTCACTAATTGCAACCGAAAATAGCACAAACTAGATCAAATTACATGAAGAACAGACCTTTCCCTTAGTAATAAACATTCCGGAACTAGTCCGAACCTCGCTGAGCTTGCTTTTTCCAGACGCATTATCCGCAACAGCCGATCTCTTCAGCTCCGACTTCGCCTAGTAAATCCCCCCAAAAAAAACTCCACAACAATTCAAATCAAATTGATCTAAAAAATTCAAATTATGAGAATTCAGAAATTTCAAATTCCACTCACAAGAGCTATCAAATGATCGCATTCTTCATCCGTTAGAAAACCTTCGTACACGAAAGCTCTGAAAAATAATCACATACTTTCCTGAGTTAATGGAAATTGCATCCAAGTATTACCTTACAATTTCTCTTCCTTCTTCTAGTCTCCTATATTTTCTCAGCATCCAAAAAGCAGGTTAGTGAAATTAAAAGATACCTTGGTTTCATTGAAACTTGTTTGACTTTCGATGGATTGATTATTGAGGAGCTCGAAGATTCAAAGAGGACGGACGCGATCGAAAGCAAGAAGATAAGTGAAAGATCTGAAAACTTAATCATGACCTTTGGGTTTGAATGTTTCGAGAAGAAATTGAAAAGGAGATGATTTTCCGGGAAAGTTTTCGTATTTTCTCGAGAAAATTGGTTTCCTAATCTGATTTGCGAGCCAACTGTCACTGTGGTGGGAGACAAATCTCACCTATTACTTAGAAATAGTCGTTGTTTGACACTTATCTATACTATCTACTAAAACAAATAATTTTGAAGAGAGTTTTTTCTATATATCATTATTATATATTTAAATTGTTATAAATGATCAATTTACACATTAATAAATAATTTTAATATTAAGATGATAAATAGGGATATAGGTGGTGCGGTAGGTAAGTGGAAATAAGGGTGGCAGTTAAGGGTGTCCGTTGCCAGGCCGGCGAAATTTTCTCTAGGTCGGACTTGGGTAGTATAAGATTAAATTCTTATCCAGATTTTGAGTAGAGGTAGGTTACCCGTAGCCTAACCCATTAACCTATTGAACCCCATTAACCTATTGAATGGGTCGTCTAGGCAGGCTTGCTGCGCGGGCTTGCTCGTGAGCTTATATATATACAATTTTATTTAAAAATAATAAATATTTTTGTAACTTATTATTTGTTATATTTTTGAATTAAAAATAGATTAAAAGTAAAATAATAAACAATTTTATTTTTTATTTAGGGATAAACTACATCCAATAAAATGAATACATCCTGATTAAGTTGACACTTATATATCATTTGCATTATTCTAATCGTTAAAACTTGTATATTTAATATATATAAAAAAATAATATATTATTTATAGTATCTAAACTTATAAAATTTCAAATTCTGATATTAAGAGACTTATTTTAAAGTTATAAATTTAATGGTCTAAAAGTACAATTTTTTTTCAAAAAAAGTGTGTGCGAGACTGTGTGGGCGGTGCAGGCTTTTGGCCGGATAATAGGTTTGAGGGCAAACCCAACTCCTATTTTTAAGGATATTGGGTTCAGGCGGGTTAACTATCAAGTCTATTAGGTTTCGAGCCCATTTTTTTAGATTAAGTAATGGAACCTATGAGTAATCCGACCCATGAGCACTCCTAATGACAGAGGCGATGAAACGATATTATAAATTTTATATATTATACAATGCGGCCGCTAATATATGTATAATGAGAAACTTCTCTGAAGGAAGTGTCACTTTAAATCCATGCCTAATAGAGTAAACTTGAATATCTATAATTATTTGTAAATCGTAAATATCACTTAGAAGCATGAGAGACGTCAACGAGAGTCAAACTTGACCTTTTGAACTACTGTTTGTCTAGGTCCAATCTTACACCACTGTGTTACCCATGCGAGTTATTTGACCCTTATATTATATGTGGGATACTAAAGATTAAAACTAATTTTTTGAATTTTAATTTATTTATAATTATTTATAATTTAAAAAAAAATAAAAAAATCACATATTTTACGCTTTTATAGAAATCTTATTTGCGAAGTTATATATAAAAAAAAATATTACATAATCCAAGTAAAACTCAAAAGTTAAAACTTAAAATGCATATCATCCCTTGGATGAGCGAAAAGTTGACGAGACTCACTCATTCAAGGGATAATGTGTATTTAGGTTACAATTTTTTGTGTTTCATTTACATTTTGTATGTCTAGAAAAATGCATAGAGTCTAAAATGAATAAAAAATACTGCATAACCCAAACAAAACTCAAAAAAATGCAATCTAAATGCATACTATCTCTTAGATGAATATGTCTCACTAACTTATTCAAAAAATAATATATATTTTGCACTATGTACATTCATGAGGTTTCAAGTTGGACAAGATAAATTGATTACTTTCTGGATGTTAGATCATGATAAATTTATCTCACATAAATTTTCTAGTCTATACGTAAATAATTTGTCTTTCACCGATTCAATTCCTTCTCACACCTTCTCAATGCTAATCATCTTTATCCCTTTAAGAACATACTCTAACCCAATTTAAGCCACGATGAGTTAGTCCCCAAACTCTCGAGAGTAATCGGCGCAAGTCTAGACAGCCTGCGAAAAAAACAAGGTAGCTATGATTCTGAAATTCATCCTAAGCTTCCGAGTGTAAAGATTCTTGTAACTGCGCATTGTCCTTTTTCCTTTGGTTATGCAACAGACAGTACCATCACTTAGAAATACTTTAGAGCTCCAATGCAATCTGGTTTTGCTGGTTCAAATCATTTAACTGCTGGGGGGAGTTGTATTCTTCATCCTCAGACAGATCCACTGAACATGTCCTCTTAAAGGCTGGTCTTTTTTGAAATTTTTTCTTGCTCTGCAAGATCCCTTCATCACCTTTCAACATCCTAACAACCTGCACATGAACACCACGGTTTAACCAAAATGATACACTGTGAAACGGGTAATGCTGCACAGACTTGAACAACAGAGTTGAGTTGATTAATTACTGTCATTGATTTAGTTGTGGGTCTCAACATTTATTATGACTTATTATCTATTTAATGATTATAATTCATCAAGTTAAAAAATCATGTCAACTTTTTAAGTATAAATTACATTTCTCTTTTCAAACAAGCCTCAAGTTGCAATAGACTAGACACCTGAGTAAAGATCAAAATTTTGTTTTGAAATGGTCGAAATGTTTAAAACGTTTCAAGAGACCGAAATAAATCAATGATGGAATTGAAATTCAAATAGTTCGAGAAGTTCCATAATGTTTTGAGATGTTTTGTAATAATTCAATTTATTTGTACAATTGTTTCGGAATGTTTCGAAATATTTCTAGATATTTTAGTATATTTTGAAAAAATAATTTTTTATTTTTTTTATTATGTTTTTGAAACCGGTTCAAACATTTTCAAAACACGTCAAAAAATTTCCGTGTCCTAGATTTTCAAACAATGCACCGAAATGAAGAGCTGTTTAGAATCCAGATCAGGTGTACATTGCTGGCTTTAGCATACCTGTTCAGCACAGCTTAATGTATGGTAATTGGTAAAAAAGTACTAAGCTACCATATCTAAAACAAGCACGTGCCTGGCTCATTTGAGGCCGTTCAGCTGGAGACTGATGAATGCATATAGAAGCAATCAGGGCCATGCGATTTATCTGCTCTAGGTCGTAGGCTCCGCCAAGAGATGGATCGGCGAGTTCCTCTATGTTTTTCTCAGTGAGCAATGGTTTAGCCTGCAACAAATTACTCTAGAGTTCATGAATTTCCAAATACAAAAGCATATACATATACTATAAGAGGTAATTGATTTACACTTAGCTGCAACAATGTAATCAAACCGGGACAGAGAGAAGTAACATACCCACATAACGAGGCTTTTCTGTGACTTATCCAAAGCTGGACGTCCAGTGATGAGCTCCAACAATAATACACCATAAGCATAGACATCAGTTTTTTCATCAACTGTGCCATGCTGGAAAAACTCGGGAGGAAGGTAGCTGCCACGATGGAAATGAAGATTAATGGACACTATACAGTACTCAAACAAAAATGAGAAATCAAAACAGGACTTATGCTTACGGACCCAAATGTGCCTTCATATTGTGATATGGTCAGGTGAGTCCATTGGTCCGGGAGCCACTTCGCAAGGCCAAAGTCAGAAATCTACATAGAACTTAAAGTTAGTCATCAAAATTCAAAAACTTCAACAAACCCAAACATAAAAATGCATGGCTTCTATTGTGAAAGTTCATGATTCTAACAACAAACCCTATAGTTTAACTAGAACTTAAATATCCAGGGAGCAGATGAAACATTCTTCACCATTTGAGTGACTATTGACTCTTAATGCTTCTTAAAAGTTCAATTCAACTGCATCAAATGGAGAAACTATCAGGTACTTTGGAAGGTGAAATATAAAGTAGCATTCGATGTCATCTCTCTCTTTTTTTTTTAAATAGTGTTTGTTTTGCATCTTTGTGTTTTTGCTTTTTCTATTTTCCAATTATAATCACTTACTCAAGCTTTTATTGCATGCAAGTAGAACACATATGCATGTATACAAATAGATCGTTTCTACTGTGGGATTGCTTCCTTTTTTTTTTAGCTTAAAAAAGTTACTTAAAAAAGCACTGGGGCAAAAATTCCCTAATTAAGAAGATAATAATAACTCGACAAAAATAAATTACTCAAGAAGGCGCACTTTCATGTAATTAGATTCGAGTTTGTAAGGAAAAACCTGGGGCTCAAAATCTTCTGTAAGCAAAATGTTAGCAGCCTT